CCTATTTTCATTTCCATCTTACTGGTGGTCTTCTGTACACCACCAGTTTTGAAGTCACTCCCATACATTTCCTTGCCTTGCCTTAACAGCACTCATCCTTCAAGCTTTCCTTATTTATCTATCCTCCCCAGACTGTATTCTCACAGTACAAATCCCCTGGGGTTCCACTTATTAATCCCTAATGCTCCTAACATCAGATCTTGCAGCCTCTCTCATACCCTTCTTTGAGTATCTTCACTCTCTAGACAACTCTCCACTCCCTACACCCTTACAGCAGACATAGGGAGAATGAGAAAACGTCAAAAGAAAACAGAAGAGCCAGCCTCTGGATACAAACACCTTCAACAAGTAGCAAGCTCAGTATCACCTCTTCTCTTCCTACAGCCTATGACAGCACAGTTACGAGGCAAGGAATTAGCCAGGGTTTAGGATGGCACACATGAGATGGTATGAAAAGATAAGATTTGGGAGAGCAGCAAAAACTGTTCCTTTTTTTGACACACTGATATTTTGTTCTGGGAAGATTATGAATATTTACATTACTGCCCATTCAGATAACTCTTCTTTGCAGGAGGCGTTGAATCCATTGTATTATCAGGCTCCAGAAGAATATGGTTTCATCCTGATAGGAGATGATGGCTATAATTCACCAGAGTGTCTAGCATATATAAGCAACAGTATTTAACCTGGCCAATGACTACCTGAAGGCCAACAGCTGTAGCCTGGTAGCCTGTTATGAAGGAATAAGAAAAGTGATTTTCCTTGATCCTGAAGAGATTCTCAGAAGAATTTTTTTTAAAAAGAAAGTTACAATTAATTAACTGTTACAATTATTGTAATTGTGCCCAAGTGCTATGCAGTGGAAGATCTGACCTATTTCACCTCGTACTACAGCTATACAGCATGTAGAGGGCTTTTAGATAATCAAAAATCCATTTCAAGTGCTAGGCACCATATAAAGCTGTAGGAGCTATGGCCCTGAAGATCCCTACTGTCTGAAACCCTTGTTCTGCAAACACTTGATTTCGCATGAATCATTTTATCAGACTAAATCCAATTAGACTACTCATGTACATAAAGTTAAACAGATGCAAAACTGATTTCAGCATGTACATATGTTTGGGCTGGATGCCAAGATCATAAATTATGCACCGGGATGGAGATTTGCTTTTGTGAAGGGAAGAAATTCAGGCCAAAATGGATTAGCTATGTCTCTCAAAAATGCAATAGTAATTTTTTTTTTTTTTAAAGAAAGCATTGCATAGAGAGCCTTGTCCATTGTCTTCTCCAAAATATTTATTTCAAGAGCAACTTCAGCATCTTAAATGAACCATGGAGAATAACATAGTCTGAGAAAGTTGCATGGCAGGAATCCATATTTACTCATCATGGATTTGAAGACTATGTATAGCACCAGAAAAAACGTGATTTTTCCGTAGCTGTTGCATCAGCAAAATGAGGGAAGAGGTTACAAAAGCTCTGTTAAGAATAAAATTTCTACCTTTTTTATTTCTACACAGATGAATATTGAATCTGAGAAGGATCAGACTGTTTCTCTCATTTGTGTTGACTCTGCAGTTTTGAAAAAGGTGATAAGCATTTTCTTTTGGTACTCTATTAAGCAGCTGCAGTGCTAAACAAGCATGGGGTAGGACAGCAGAGGACAACTTTTCCTTAGTACATTGTTCCCCAATTTTAGGTCTTGCATTGTCCTTTCAAAAGGCTTTGCCAGATAGGAACCTTCTCATTCGGATTCCTGTACACCCCTTGACATAAATTGTTATGGTCCTGCAGCGAATTAGACTGGAGAAGTGATCCTGGTTAAAATGTTTGGGGTTTGGTTTGGTTTTTTTTTCTTTTGCCAGTCTGTTTCAGACCAGGATCAGTTCTTGGCTCCAGTTCACCACCTGAAAGCACAAACCTTTGTGCTGACAGGAGAGTGTGAGTGTGGAAGGGATAGAGGGAGCATACATGCCTCTGTTGACAGCAATGCAAGATTAAAGCAATCATGTAGTGGAAGCATTAGCAGACACGGGATGTTTCATAGGTGAAACCTTTGTGCTTAACAAATGTGGGTTGGAAAAGAAAGTGACAGCAATGTAAAATGAGAAATTATTCAAGGAGAACAAATGAGGCCAAGGCTAAGGCCAAGAGTATTGCCTCCCCCAAACAATTAGATGATTATAAAGCTGTCTTAAAAATACTGAGATGTTGATAGATATATTCTGGCCACTTTGTCCTTGCCCTTTTCTGAAGGTTCTTAGTTCATTATTTTAATCTCTTTCTTGCAATAATAAGTATTAGACACTTCTGCTTTATAAAAATGAAAGTAAAGGTTCTTGCCTAACAACCTGCTTTTAGAAGCTTGTGACATGAAATATCAACATCTTTCCAATAAATTACAAGTCAGCAACAAAAGTCATCTGAAGTAAGGTAGGTGTCAAATCATACAATAAAAGACCTGGGAGGACATCACAGTGTCATATAGTTCATCTTGCTGCCACAGAACAAGGTCAGGTCATTCCTGACCACTGTTTGTCTGGTTGTCATCTTAAGACTTCCACTGACAGAGATGTCATGCATCCCCCAGACAATCTGCATCAGTGTTTCACTGTCTTCAGAATTATTAAAATATTCTTAACAGCCACCTCTCACTTCCATAAACAGTAGTAAGCTTATTTCTTTTTCACCTATCTACCACATATCACAACGGAGTACAGGTGTACCTGGAGACAAGAGCATTCTCTTCCCTCTTTACAAAAATCTTTCAGTCATTTGAAGACTCTTATCATGTCCCCTCTCTCAGTCTTCTCTTCCCAATAAATTCACTCATGCTATGAAACTCATGTTTTCCTGATTCGTAATCATTCTTACCAGTCTGCACTGGATGTTCTTTACTTGGTCTGAAACTTTCTCAAAGATTAACTCCCAAAACCCCAAAGTGTATTCCATTTGAGGCCTTTCTATGGAAAACATATTCATTTATTGCTTGACAGATTTCTAATACCCTTACATAAGAAAAAGCTTATCACTTTATTTGCAAGATAAAAAAATACCCAATATACGCAAAAGACAGTAACGCAGGAGCCCCACAGTTGCCAACAGAAGTAATGCTGTTATTTTGTGAGAAATAAAGCAGAAGTAATCCAGAACATTAATAAATATAAAGTCTACCATAGTGCCCCAATGCCTGGTACACTCAGACAATGGTGTACGGCCATCAGACATGGTTTGAAGGATGATGCCACTTGAACTCATTGCAGGAGGCTACTCCCAGCAACTGACAGCGAGAGACTCTTGGCTATCTCAGTGCATGTACAAAGAAGGCTGTTGATTAGTGGACCAAAAATTACTCAGTGACAGAAAGTTAATTACTGAGGCTGGTTATTTGCAATGACCAAAAATTGGAAAAATCATGGCTTTGTGATTTTTTAAAAAATGCTAAAAGGGAAAAAAAGACCCCACCTTTTCAGGGAAAAAAGCCTCTGAAGGAAGTGTAGTGGATATTTTTTAAAATGAAGCTTCATTTTTCATATTTACGTTACATTTTACATTTACACTTAGTTGGATAGTTCTACATTTAGTTGGATAGTTCTGCATTTAGTTGGGTAGTCAGTAATTCTTTCAGTTGTTCCACTAGACACTCAGAAACTACAGCACTCCTGTGAGCTGAAGAGATTTGGAGATCTG